CTCTGCGAGGTCTATGGCATGGTGGGCTAACCACTGACCGGCTCAGAATCAAGATCATCATCCGGGCAAATCCCTCCAGAGCACAGTCACTTTTAAGCATCCTTAAGCAATTCAGCGGGTGAGAATACCAGCTCTTTCTGTGATTCTAGGGTGTGTCTATTACTATGGGGGGGGGGAGCTAAATTGAACCCTGAATACAGATCTTGTCAATTTCTTTCCCGATGATCATGTGAATAAAATAAACTCTGTTGAAGCATCAAAGGTCTCTCAGAGAATCTTCTTAAGAATTTGATTTAACCTAAAGCATGAGGGTTCCATCACTGTGCTGGAACCACTGGACACATGAAGAGAAAGCACACATGCTATAAAAGACTCAGATAACTATGCTAACAAAAAAAGATGTCACTATTTTAAGTGCATGCTTTTTTTATATAAATGGGCTATAAAAAAAATCAGACTCCAGGTTCCTGTAATCTGCAGAAACAAGAGGAAACCCAGTCAAGGAAGAAATCATAATATATTGCCCATTTCAAATAACTTTCTTAAAATTCTCTACGATCAGGCATGTGACATTGCTCTGAATTTTTAAATCCCCCTGCCTTATTTTCTCTCTGAGGGTTATGTCTAGGCTATATGCCTCTGCCGACAGAGGCATGTAAATTAGACATATCGACATAGTCAATGAATCGGGGATTTAAATATCCCCCGTGTCATTACAATAAAAATGGCCGTCGCATTCTGCCGGCTCAGCTGATTGTCGGCACAGCGCAGCAGTCCAGACGCAGATTGGTCGACAGGGAAAGCCGTTGTTGATCGATCCTGTAAACCTCGTTTCACAAGGCATAAGGGATCGGTTGACAACGGCTTTCCCTGTCGACCAATCCACGTCTTGACTGCTGTGCTGTGCCGACGATCAGCTGAGCCGGCACACAGAGGTGACCATTTTTATTTTAATTAACCAGGGGATGTTTAAATCCCTGCTTCATTGACTATGTTGGGTAGTCTAATTTACATGCCTCTGTTGGCAGAGGCATGTTGTCTAGACATACCCTGAGTGCTTTGCTTTGGCTCTCTGCCAGTTTCTTACAGGGCCCTTTTGTGCATGTCGTTTGGAGAGGAGGACGGGAGCTGTCAGACTATTTCACAAAGCGATGTCTCAATATCTGACCAATCAGGTCTTAGCCTTAAAGAAAACTTACACAGCACCTTCCAAAGAGAGCCTCGGGGCGTCGGTTTATTATTCGGCTAGACACTAAAAACCATGGTCTAAATAAAGGCACTGGATTTAGGGCTTATTGCAACAATTTGTAACCTACTAACTTCCCTGTTTGTCCTAGAGGCCCTGGACTACATTGGGGAGTTATTTTGAAATTACTCCCCTTCTTTTGAAATAACAAGCCACACTACAAAGCCCGTTATTTTGAAATAAGGGGCTAGTTATTTTGAAAGAATAACTCCTGCTTTCGGTGAGGAATAACGCTTATTTCAAAACAGCTATTTCGGAATAGCAGTAGCATGGACGCTCCGATCCCACTATTTTGAAATAACTAATTCCTCCCCAGTGCTTCCTGGGGCTCTAAGTCGAGGCAGTGCGCCCACATTAAGGTAGCCTGCCTTGGACTCATTTCAAGGTTTCCCCGTAGCGTGGGCACGCTATTTCAAAATTATTGTTTCAGGAAGCATGATATTGAAGTGATAGAAATGTAGCCGTGTTAGTCTGGTGTAGCTGAGACAATACAGGACTATGTAGCACTTTAAAGACTAACAAGATGGTTTATTAGGTGATGAGCTTTCGTGGGCCAGACCCACTTCCTCAGAGCAAATAGTGGAGGAAGTGGGTCTGGCCCACGAAAGTTCATCATCTAATAAACCATCTTGTTAGTCTTTAAAGTGCTACATAGTCCTGGATATTGAAATAAGTTACTTCAAAATAATTCCCTCGCGTGGTCATGCCCCTGGTGTACTCACAGACCCCTCTACCTTGAAGGGTCCCTTCAAAAGAGGAACTACTTATACTAGGACAAGTTCAATCTTGTATTTAGCTGGGACACTCCAAGGACCTTTCCCAGACCTGAGGAATTCTCAAAAGTGGGTCTCGCTCACCAACAAAGGCTGGTCCAATATCACCTCACCCACCTTGTCTCGCTAATCCCAGCAGAACCTTCCGATGCCCACCACTGCGAACCTGTTTCCTGAGATTCCTCTCTAGCTCATCATCTGAGGAAGTGGGTTGTGCCCACGCAAGCTCACGCTACTATAAATATTTTGGTTCGTCTCTAAGGCTGCTGGCTTCGTTCAGAAGAAGCTTTTTTTGGAAGAGATCTTCTGGAAAAACGTCTTCCGAAAGAGAGCGACCCCACTGCAAAAGTGCATTGAAAAAGTGATCTGCTTTTTCAAAAGAAAGCGTCCACACTGAATGGACGCTCTCTTGTGTGTCAGCTGTGATTGCTATGGATGGAATGACCAAAGGGCACCTGTGCTTTTCCTCTTTCCTCTTCTTCCGAAAGAACTCCCTCTTCCCCATTCACACGCACCTTTTTGTGAAAGAGCTCTTTCGGAAAAAGGCTTCCTCCTCATAGAAAGAAGATCACCAATCCTGGAAGAACACAATCGCAATGTGGACGTTCCTCAAGTTTTGTTGAAAAAAGTCGTTTTTCCGACGAAATACTGTAGTGTAGACATACCCTAAGGGACCACAGGACTCTGTTGTTTCTTAAGTGACAGATGAACACGGCAACCCTTCGGAGGCTGTGTTCCTCTTAACGTCCCTCTCAGTGACCTTTGAATGCCAACACCAAGTGGGCATTCTTCCAAAGATGGACGGAGCACCTGGTTCTAGAATAATAAATCCGTCTTGGGTCTCGTCCGCCTGCCATATTGTGTGAACAGTGAATGGCTGGTGTTTGCGTTTGGGTTGGAGAGGTCTCGGTATGGCAGGTCAGAGGAACAATAGCCCAGGGTGTTTAACTCACAGCTAGTGCTGGCACCTGACGTGGCTGTGTGTGTGTAAATGTCATTTTTAACTCCAGAACTAAGGCCTGGTTTGCACTAGAGAAACCTGTTGTGCTAATCACTGGATCTTCTAGTCCATGAGGTTAGCTGCCAACCCTTTCATCACCACCACGAGTCCTCTCCCTGTCTCATAGAAACATTTCCTGGGCTGCCTCCTGGCCCTTGTCCTAGCTGCGACATTGTGCGATGCCCAGTGCTCTGTTGAAAAGATCAGTCCAAGGGCAAAAGGGAAGGTGGTCCTGGGGGGTGATTGTGAAGAAGCAGAACCAGGTGGAGGCGCTACCCTCTGTCTCGGAACAGATCTTTTCACAATATTAAAAATACGAGCCCCCAGAGGTCATAAATATGTCCACAAAACCTGTGAGAGGTAGGGTGGGGGGGCTATTTTCCCCAGTGTTCAGAGGGGAAACTGAGGCACAGAGAGGCTGAGGCCTGGCTCCTTAAAGGTATTTAAGAACATAAGAGCCTCCACACTGGGTTGAGGCCAGGGCCCGTCTTGCTGAGTTTCCTGTCTCAGACAGTGGTCTGAACACAACAGGGCAGTTGGAAATGGCCCACCTCAGTCTTCCAGCAGTCAGAGGGTTAATGCTGCCCGGAGCATGGGCTGCCCACTGATTTCAGGGGGAGCTAGGTGCCTAAATACCTTGAGGATCCGGACCCAAGGGATTTGCCCACGATCACGCAAGGGAGTCTGCGGGGCAGCTGGAAACGGAGCGCAGGGCCCCCGACTCCTAGGTCCGTGCTTTAGACTGCCCAACGATCTGACCCGTGCTACGTCCAAGGCCTGAACCAATGGCCATTGAAGACGGGGGAGGTTTCTATTGATTTCAATGGCTTTGGGTCAGCCCATGACATACCTGCCCACAATGGGATTCAGACGGAGAGAGGAGGGGAACGGACAATCCCCATCTGCAGGAGGCCGGGGGGGGAGGGGGGGGAAAGAGGGCTCTGGACAAGGTGAGTGGAGGATCTAGCTCTGCATGCCTACAAGGGGCGTGGCCATCTGCTCGCACTGAGAACAGTCTCTCTCCATCCTCTTGGGAACCCCCCTTCCGGTAGTTCAAGGCTGCTCTCAAATCCCCCCTCACCCTTCTCTTCTGCAGACTGAACAAACCCAAATCCCTCAGTGTCTTCTTGTAATTCATGTGCTCCAGCCTCCTCATCATTTTGGTCGCCCTCCGCTGGACCCTCTCCAATGTGTCCACATCCTTTCTGTAGTGGGGGGCCCAGAACTGGACACAACACTCCAGCTGTGGCCTCACCAGAGCCAAATGAAGGGGAATAATCTCTTCTCTGGATCTGCTGGCAATGCTCCTCCTAATGTACCCCAAAATGCCATTAACGCTCTTGGCTACAAAGACACAATATTGACTCATATCCTACTTCTCATTCACTGTAACCCCCAGGTCCTTTTCCGTCCTACTGCTGCTTAACCAGTCAGTCCCCAGCCTGTAACAATGTTTGGGATTCTTCCGTTCCAAGGGCAGAACGCTACACTTGTCCTTGTTGAACCTCATCAGATGAAGGATGGGAAAACCAAGAGATACATTCGCAAGTTAGTCATCAAAACACAAGGACAAAAAAATTAAAACCTCTTCTTAGAGAGCCGAGTAGTTCTGAATTCAGAGGATGCTTACAAGACCTCAGGGCCATTAATCCAAAGAACAAACTGACAGCAGGAAACTTACAAGAAATTCTGCCTTGACTATAAGAAAGACCTCTTCAATGGGTTGTTTGAAGAAGACTCTTCCTCCAGAGCCAGAGAAGTGGGTCATTTAGATGCCTCAGTGAACACAAAATCCAAGACATCGATTAAAGGGAACCACTTACACTCAAAATTTAGGTTCTTAAAGGAGAGCCCAGTTTATAATCACTGCAAACCAGAAAGCGGAAGTTTAGGCATTCCCCTGAAAGGGAAGAGCTGAGAGCATAACACTGCTCCAGAGGGCAGGTAGGGCAAAACATCAAAGGGAAAACATTCCACCCACCTGAGAAATGCCGTGGGCCGGCAAGCTAGACAAGAGGATCAGGACAGGACAGTCTGGTATGTGCAGGGAGATCAATTGATGACCAGTGCCTGAGGGAAGAGAATGTTTCCTGAACACAGATGGTAACCAAAGGAGATTGATGTGCCAGTGGTGGGCAGGCCTAATGGTTATGGAAGCAGCAGGGTATGAATGAACTGATGGCATGAAGTACACGCAAGTGGGAGAGGACGTACAGCTCCCCTGCTTACTTAGCCGGGAGGGGGGTGTCGGGTTTTGGTGATATGATGGGAAGTGACAGGGGACTAGAAGGTTGAGCAATGATTATTAAGAGAGACAGTGGCTTTGTTACAGTCTAAATCTAAACCCCAAACCCAGAAGGTGCAGGTTGGGATGGGTCAGAAACAAAGGGCAGGATGTGAAATTCACAGCTAGCTCATCGCAAGGAGTCCTCAAACTCCACACCCCCTTGACACACTGGGTGATTCCAGACTGCAACAGGAATTCAGCAACAGCGACCCCTCTCTCCTCTTGTGCTTAGTCTGGGAGCAAACATAGAATCATAGAACACTAGAACGGGAAGAGACCACGAGAGGTCATCGAATCCCATCCCCTGCCCTCACAGCAGGACCAAGCACCATCTGGATCATCCCTGACAGGTGTCTGTCTAACCTGCTCTTAAATATCTCCAGTGATGGAGATTCTGCAACCGCCCTAGGCAATTTATTCCAGTGTTTAAACAACCTCACGGGTAGGAAATTTTTCCTAATGTGCAACCTAAACCTCCCTTGCTGCAACTGAAGCCCATTGCTTCTTCTCCTCGCATCAGAGGCCAAGAAGAATACTTTTCTTCCCGCCTCTTTGTAATACCCTTTTAGAAGAACATCTAATCGAACGTTGTATCAAATCATGAAACTGCCACCTCTGGTTTTTTTCCTACCTTGATTCTGACTTTTGGCTGCTGTTCTTGGATGCGAGTGTGGAAAAAATAAAAAGAGTCTTATCAGTGTAAAGGTTTTCCCTCACCACTGTTACTAGAGACTCAAATTGCCTCTGAATCTTGAAGAGAAGTTGCTCCACCTTTGAGCGCAAAGAGAAGCAATTTTATCCAAGCGTGGGTTAATATTCAGACGTCTGATGAGCGCTGGGTGTGGGAAGAAGGCAAGTCCTTGAAGTAGACCCTGCAAACACACCCCCGTGCTCTTTGGGAGAGAAACACTTCAGAGGGAAGTCAAAGTGTGCACACCAGATTTTAAAGGTATGATGGGAGACATAGCCTGCTATTTATTTTTAATGTTGCAATATGGGCTTAGTGAAATCTGATGTATGTGCTCTCTTACCAATGAGTTTAAAAAGTGTTTGCTGCTGTTGGTATTTTGTTTGTTTGTAACTTGATAAAGCTTGGGAGAAATGTGGATGCTGAAAGTAGCTTTGAATCTTCAGCAATTGATTTAGAAGGCCGTACGGGGCTAATTACATGGCTGGTTATTCAAAGAGAAGTCTATATTTATCTCTGGGGCATATTTACTCCAGGTCACTAAAGCAAGGTTGGTTGGAAAACAAGGGGTCAAAGTCTGCCTTTGATTATACATCTAGAATGCCCACAGTCTTCAATGGAAATTGTAACCATAGAAGAGACAGGAGAATTTGGCCCTGAACATGAATGTAAAAGTCACTAGTGGGACTGCCACCCTGAGTTAAGCTCATATCCTGGTGTGCATGTAACAAATATGCTTTCTGTCTCTGGGTCACGGTTTTGAATCCAATCTCAGCAGATAGGATGAAAATCATGGACCACCTCATGGACTGTTTATTTGGCTCTCTGTTGGGTGATTTCTATGCACTTCTTGGTAGACAGGGACCCACAAATCTAGAAGACACCGTCAAGCACGATTAACGTTTACTTCTTGCACCAGAGTTCACTGACAGCCTGAATTCAGAGGCACTGAGAATTTGTAACAGAAGTCGAGGGAGCCACAGATGCCAGCCACCTGTAAAAATCAAGTTTTTCTTTTTAAGCATCTATTATGGTCTTCAGGACTGGGTGTGTCTGCTTAAACTTTTCCAGGGTCCTGGCTGCTAAGGACACATTCACACAATCGCTGGCTGTTGGAGTGAGAATTTAAAAAACTTTTAAAGGTAAAAGGTAGGAAGTTCAAAGCAGCACCCTCAGTAATAATTCAGTACCATGCTTTGCACATACTGGATCAAATTCAGCCATGGCTATAAGTAATAATGACGCCATTTACTTCAATAGAAGCTGCCACCGAGTCAGTGTTCTGATTTGAAGTTCTGACGAAGGACCCCAACTATAAATTAAGGGACCTAACTGTAGAATTGAAAATCTTGGACAAAATTGGATTTGGTCGTGGGTACTACCTTACCCACGGTACTGGAACTCCTTTCTAGTCTTTAAGTTATTTATCCTCACGTTGCCCGTGACACAGGAATGTGCTATTATTCCCATTTTACGAGTGGGAAACTGAGGCACAGAAAGATGAAATGATGTGCCCACATTCACACAGGAATTCTGTGGTGAAGCAGGAAATTCAACCAACAACAACCATGGACTCCGCGCCCGTTGGTGTCCGATGCCTCCCTCACTATTTCCTTCCATATTTCCCTGTCCAGTGCGCAGTGGCTTCGTTTCTGTAGACCAGCTCCGCACCAATCTACTAGATCATCTCCCCATTCTCTGTGGGGTCTGCCTCTCCTACTCGGACCATCCATCATGCTGAATACCAAGGTCTTCACTTTTTGCTCATCATTCATTCTGCAGAGATGCCCGTATAGCTGTAACTTCCGTTGTATAACCTTCTGCAGTGGGCTCTCTTTCGGCTGTATCTTCCTATAGAATTCCTCGTTGGTGACCTTCTTCATCCATCCTATTCTCAGGATCTTTCTATAACAACTCCTCTCGAATGCCAATATCCTTCTCTTCGAATCTTTCCGTATCAGCCATGTCTCACATCCGTACAACATGCTACTAAATACATATGTTTTCAAGATGCTCAGCTTCATTCCTAATCTAATCACTTTGCTTTTCCATATTTTATCCATCGCCTTCAAGCTCACTCTTGCTTTAGCTATTCTAGTCGCTATTTCCTTCTTACAGTCTAGATCATATGTCATGTTTCTCCCAAAATACGTGAACTTCTCTACATTCTCTAGTTCAATCCCATCTACACATTGAACTTTCTTCCTACTTCCTTATCTACAAATACCATTGTTTTCATTTTATCAATATTCATAATCAATCCATACTGCTTCTTTTCCTCATTTAGAAACTACACCATTCTTGCTAACTTCTTTGCATCTTCCTCGATGATAACCATATCATCCGCAAACCTCAACTTGTTAATTCTTATCCTGTGTACCGGTATCCCTTCCACCTCTTCCTTGATCTTGTTCATAGCTCTCTCTTGGTGCGTGATGAAGATACTCAGCAATATCAGATCTCCTTGTCTCGTACCTCTACTCATTCTAAACCAACTTCCCAACTCTCTACACATTCTCATCGCTGCCACCGCATTATCGTTGAACAACTGTATATCCTTCAACAACCGTAGATCCGCATCTCTTTCAACAACCGTATCAGTCTGCTTTCCACTCCATATGTCTCTCTGAGACATTCTGGTCCAACTGTGCTTTGTACCGATTGGTACAATATCTCGTCCATCGCTGTACAACCTTCTCCTTGTTCACGAGCACTTTGTCGTTCTCGTCTTTGACCGTCATCTTCTTGGGCTGCCACTTCCTATTAATATTCCTAATCCTTTTATACCCCTCCCTGGTCCTACTGCTGTAATACCACTCCATATCTTCACACTGCTCCTCTAACCAGTTTGCCTTATCCATTCCGGCCACTTCCCTTACCTCGTTGCATTTCACTCTATATTGATACTCTCTTCCCTTGGACCAACTTCCGTGTCTCAGGTTCCCCCACATCCCAGAGTTGCGCCCTAATCCTTAACCATCCTACTTCCCTTTATGCCTTAATAAAATTTTCACACAGAGGTAGGGCTGCTGTGTACCCCTAAATTTAAATTCTTGCCCTTTAAGCATTTAAATCCTCATCCATAATATGAGTGCATTAGCGTCACTGAACTCCCTGGTTTTCTTTTGAATGGTGTTCCTACTGATGGGAGATTCAAGGACTACACTGAATAGGTCTGTTTCTAATCGGACTTGACATCAGCGTCGTCCCACCAGTGGATGATGAGTTTCATGACCAGCGTATTTGAGGAAACAGAGATCTAGTCATGGATGCTGTAGGTGGAAGAGGCAACACCTGGTTCATTTCACGTTAACTATCAGTTAGCTTCTAATTATGATGATGCTTCTTGATGATGCAACATGGTTTTGGGATGCATTAACAGGAGTGTTGTGAGCAAGACACGAGAAGACATTCTTCCACTCGACTCTGCGCTGATTAGACCTCCGTTGGAGTATTGTGTCCAGTTCTGGGCCTCACATTTCAAGAAAGATGTGGAGAAATGGGAGAAGGCCCAGAGGAGAGCAACAAGAATGATTAAAGGTCTAGAGACCATGACCTATGAAGGAAAACTTAAAAGAATTGGGCTTCTTAAATTTGGCAAGGAGAAGATTGAGGGGGGGACATGATAGCGGTTTTCAGGTATCTAAAAGGGTGTCACAAGGAGGAAGGAGAAAAATTGTTCTCCTTGGCCTCTGAGGACAGGACAAGAAGCAATGGGCTTAAACTGCAGCAAGGGAGGTTTAGGTTGGACATTAGGAAAAAACTTCCTATCTGCCAGGGTGGTTAAACACTGGAATAAATTGCATAGGGAGGTGGTGGGGTCTCCATTACTGGAGATATTTAAGAACAGGCTAGATAGACATCTATCAGGGATGGTCTAGATGGTGCTTGGTCCTGCCATGAGGGCAGAGGACTGGACTTGACCTCTCAAGGTCTCTTCCAGTTCTAGTGTTCTATGATTCTATTATTCTTTCTCTTACGCAGATGTACTTCTTACACCTCCAGCTGGCCTTTCTCATTCCAATGACCTTATCCAGTGCCCAGTGTTTTCATAAAAACCTCGTACCTAGGCAAGTAACCGACAAAGGTAAGAACTGTAAATCCTCGCCTCTTCCATGTTCAGCCTGGTCACAGTCACTTACAATAGAATCCACGGCCAGTCGGGTTTTCGCCATTCTAGTCTCTGTTGGTGGGGAGAGCGGACTGGGTGTGTGTAAAATTATAGGATGGAATGAGGGCCAGGTAATAAATCCGCTCTGGGAAGGATGGAGAACATCAAGGCAAACATTTCTCTCGCTCGGTTTTAATGGAAGGTCGTCAGGGGAGCTGGTTCAGGATCTGAGCTTGGCTCCCTGGTACTAACAATCCCCATATTAACTGGAGTCAACCCACAGTGCTGTGCAGTCCTGGAGATGGACAGCAACCGTAGACACAAGGCAGAAGCCCAAGATCTTTAAGCCCAACCAGCCAGAGGAGCTCCTGCTTTGTCTCACAATGGATGGGACAAAAGTGAGCTACTAGCCATCTCTGATTGGAGGCGAATTAGTTCAGGGTTAAGTCCTCACACACATTAGAGCAGCCCAAAGACTACTCCAATTTGCGTAGACTGCCTACAACTGCTGCTTTGGCAGCCAGGGGATCCCTAGACACAGGGAAACTTGTGGGCCAAAAGGGGCTGGTGCTGGAGTTAGTGGAGGGCTCCATCAGGCAATTATGCCATGCCACACTTTAACAAACCTCCTATTTGCTGCTAAGCAGGCCTAGGTGGACATCTCTGCAGGAGGAGACGTTTTGAGGAGAGCTAGTGAGGGCCAGGAAATCCTTACCAGGCAATTTACATCCAGATTTTGGCACAAAATTTGAGTTTGAGCCATGAAGTCCCTAGTATACATTTTTAATTCTGAAGAGGTAGCTGTATTAATTACAGAGTGAGGCTACAGAACTGCAATTTATCTACAAATTTCACTCTGTTACTATGAGCTTGAATAAAGACATCAACTAGTTAATGCACTATAAAGCCAACTTCCCCTACCTTTAACACTCACATTTGCACATCAAAAGCTATGAATGAGACACATCCAGCCCACTTAATTAGCCCCATTAACACAGGTCCTACAATTGACAGGCACTTTTTTTGCTGATATATAGATCTTGGTTTCCATTATTTCCACTCCAACTCACATGAAGTGGGTTTTGCCTCTGAAAGCTCATAACACTATTTATTTTGGTTAGTCTCTAAGATGCCACAGGACTACTCATCCTTTTTAATTCTGTATTCCCACAAGTTGTATCATGTTTCATCTATCCAGGCTGCCGTTGGGATAGCGAGACGCATGCCTTTAATATCTACTGGTACACTGACTATTGCCTTCGCTGTATTTGCGACCGAGAAATGGTTTCCTGTTGCAACATGTGAGTGAAAAAATGTAAAAAAAAAATCCATTTTTTAAATTAAGACAAACACTCTTCGTGGTGTGTGTACATCTATGGATTTTAGAGTTTGTCTGCCTGTCCGTGAGTCATTTCTTCAAGACCTCCTCCTAAACAATAAGAGCTAGGAACACCAAATTTGGTAGGCAGCCTCCTCATCTGCCTTGGGCAGGGGGCTGGACTTGATGACCTCCTGAGGACTCTTCCAGCTCTAGGACTCTCAGAACTTTCAGCAAGGTCCGGGTTTGGTGGTGCCAGGACAATGGGGTGTGTGTGGAAAGCGACTGTTTCACAGCCAACGGAAAGGGAGGGGTGTGATAGCAGGGACGGTTATACTCAGAAATGACCACAGGGGCAGCAAGTGCTCCAATCCTGGGGAGCAAGGCTAACCAACACCACACTTGCTGCCACCCTGGGAGCAGCTACCGGCCACCATGCAGACCATGCTGCTCCCAGGCCACCCTATCATGTGCCCCCTCTGAACCCAGGTGGAATCCAGGGAGAAGCCTTCATGGCCCCTTCTCCATGCCTTAGCCCATACAGGGTAAACCTTCTAGTCTATTATACACACACCCTAGAAAACCCTGAAGAATACAGCTCTACTGCTTGATCCTGTCCTTTCCCTGAGGCTCTGCTCCAGAGCCGCCTTTTGGGGGAGCCGCGCCCAGCCTCCTTTCCTTCTGGGCCTCTTGCCCCCTTTCCTCTGCCTTCCCCCCACTCCTCTCAGCCGGAACGGACCCTAAACTGGGCCTGGCCCCAACCTGCTGCAGTGAACTTGTCCTCAGCCAGCGTGGGCAGGCCCCCCCAGCACGCCCCCGGCAGCACCTGCCACACAGGGTGGGGTGAGGGGGCAGAGGAGTTTCACTTACACAACTGAATTAGGCACGGGAAAGCCATTTGCCTCTGAGGGGAGGGAAGTAGGGAGGGGAAGAGAAGAGAAGTCTCAAGGGCAGCTCTGACTCTGGCACCATGAGAGGTTATAGCGGCCTCAGGGGCTTTTCTCCCCGGCTTGGGGGGCGGGGGGGGAGGCAGATGAACCAGTCCCTGTGCTGCTCTCACCTTGCTGTTTGTGCTTTCCCCCGGGCAGAACTCCCATCCCTGCTGACTACGACCGAGAGAATTGCGAGGAGGTTTACGAAGAGAGTCTCTGCACCTATCTGGTGAGGGACAAAATCAACCCTTTCCTGCTCTGTAAAGTCGACAGCTGGTTGCTGTAGCCACCACGCCCTTCATGGAGGTGGGTTTATTCCTGGACCACCAGGCCTTCCCCTTGCGAGCAGCGCCAACCCTGGAGAATGTCACCGTCCCAACGCAGCACACGGCGGGCCAGCCGTCATCCTGCCGACGGGTGAAGAGATCGGGCCTCTGACATGATTTTGCTTCTGGCGGGTTGCTTGTGCCCACCTCTCCTATCAGTGCCTGAGGGGAGTAGGGGGACTGCTTCAGCCCAGAAAACGAGGAGGGATGTGTTGGCTCCTCCTCAAAACAAAACATGATAGTCCTCAAATCTCAGGCCTGGTCTACACTAGGACCCGAAACAACCACCCCTAACCCCAGGTTGAATCTGTAAACGCGTCCACACTACCAAGCCCGTTATTCCAGAAGGAATTCAAGTGCCACAGTCCTGCCTTTCGTGAGGAATAACACCAGTTCCCAAACTTGGAAGACCAAAATAGTGTTTGTGGGGACACTCCAGTGTGAATTTGAATTAACTGGCCTCTGGGAAGTCCTCCCACAGCACCTCAGGGTGCTTCCTGGGGCTCTGAGTCTGAGGTAGCGCATCCACATGAACGGAGCCTGCCCCAGACTACAGAAGTTCAAATTTGTAAAATCAGGTGCCCAGTAGTCGAACTTAGTAAATTCGGAGTCATCTCCTAATGCAGACGTGGCCTCCCCGGCCTTTGTATCCACCTCCATTCTCAGGGTCAAAGCCCGGCTCAGAACTAGGGATGTTAAGGACTAGTCGACTATCTGATAAGCAAATGCAAATATCAGATAGAGACAGCAAGGGGTGGAGGGTACTTCAAAGTGGCAGCTTCATGGGTAGCTTCATTTGCCTTTAAATGGACGGTTCCCACACATGAATGCTGCTGGACCAGGGCTGCTTTTTCTTAACATACCACCTTAGCTTACTGTACTTAATACAACCTCCAAGCAGACACAGGGAAGATCAGGATGACTGTTCTATCCCAGAAAAGCAGCCAAGGATGACTGTGAGCAGAGGATAAAGCTGCAAGATCTCGCCTCAGAACTTCAATTCAGGAATTAAAACAGGTGAAGGACACCATCCCCTACCCATCCTGGCTAATAGCCATCGAGGGACTAACCTCCACACATTTCTCTAGTTCTTTTTTGAGCCCTGTTAAAGTCCTGGTCTTCACAACATCCTACATCTCCTTTAAGCCAGCTAAAAACGCTCTCCCTTCCTACACGGCAGAGCTTTTACACCAGATACGTCTACACAAAGACAACTTTTGATCCAGTTTCCAGACACCCTGACTCCATCTCTTTCCTGCCTCCCCACCTCCAGGTTGTAGACTTCCCACATTACAGGTCTCCAGCCCAGAAGTACAGCGCAAAGGAAATCAAAGTGTGATTTCAGGGACGAGAGATTCCCTCCGGCCTGTTAATGAAGGGTCTCTCTCCTCCGAGCTCCCACCCTCGGCCAACGAGATGCCCAGAAGGTCCTTCCAGATGGCGTTTTACCGGCGCCATCTCCCATCACACCATGCGATGCCTCTGCAGCCCCGCCAAGCTGTACAGCCCCATCTGCAGCCTAAATCTCTCAGCTCCAGCTCTCATTGACTGACTATTTCTTGTTCTCCCGAGATCAGCACCAAGCTAGAATAGCGGCACTTCTATTAGAGGCTCCCCTCTCCTGAGATCCCCCTCTCTGACGTGGGTGGGTGGGTTGTTCCCCGCCCTGTGGGTTGAACATGCCTGTTTAAGTAACACCCTGACTGCTCCCTCTTCAACTGAAAAATAATTTTCTCCAGCAGGTCCCTCAGGTAGGAGCCAACCGTCAGAGTAAAGCGAGATTTGTTGCTCATTAACCCTCACCAGCCCCAGTGAAGCACAGTACATACGGGTAACTAGCTCCCTTCCCTTGTCCAGTGAGGCACAGAAATTTAGCAGTGTTGAGAGCCATAACAACTGCTCACAAACCTTGAAGGGAAGGCTCAAGTGCTCTGAATGCCAGAATTTAACACTGGGCGGGGGGGGAGGGGCCGAGTTCTCCCAGAAACTCCCTTGCAGTTTTCTTCGTCCCTCAGCGCACAGTTAACCTGTGGAACTCCTTTCCAGAGGATGTGGTGATGACTAGGACTTCAACAGGGTTAAAAAAAAAAGACTAGATAAATTCATGGAAGTTAGGTCCATCAATGGCTGTTAGCCAGGATAAGTAGGAACAGATGACAGGAGAGGGATTATATGAGGATTCCCTGTTCTGTTCACTCCCTCTGAGGCACCAGACAGGACACCGGGCTAGATGGACCTTTGGTCTGACCCAGCCTGGCTGTTATGTGGTCATAAAATAAAATGGACCTTTGCTCTTGGTTTGCCAGAGATGATTAAAAGGGCAAATATTTGTTAGAGCTCAGAGTAGCTCAATTCGAGTTCCAAGAAGCCTCATGAAATAGCATCAGGCTAGGACACGTCTAACACAGTAACAATTTCCATAATCACCACTGGCCCACCTTGAAAGCTTGAGATCTGCAGCCTCCAGGCCCGATTCTCCACTCAACTGCTGCAGCATAACCCACTGCTCATTCGGGGAACTGAGGCTGGCAGAAACCCCGCGTAACCAAATACGGAGCCAGACCCCATATTTGCTGTATCTGACTGCTCATTCGGGGAACTGAGGCTGGCAGAAACCCCGCGTAACCAAATACGAGCCAGACCCCATGTTTGCTGTATCTGTGTGTATCTGGACGGCTCTCAAACCCTTCTGTTCGCTTTGTCCTTCCCAACAACAGTGTTGCCACCCCTACCGGCTACAACAAAGAGAAATGTGAAAGTATCTTTGATCAGGCGACCTGTAGTTACCGTGCGGTGGAGAAGGCCGACCCCTCCAAACTCTGCGAGGTCCATGGCACGGTGGGGTAACAACCAACCCGCTCAGAATCAAGATCATCGTCCAGGCAAATCCTTCCGGAGCACAACCTCTTTTAAGCATCCTTAAGGAATTCAGCGGGTGAGAATACCAGCCCTCTCTGTGATTCTAGGGTGTGTCTGTTACTATCTAAACACAGATTGGGGGAGCAGGGAGCTAAATTGAACCCTGAGCACAGATCTTGTCAATTTCTTTCCTGATGCTCATGTGATTAAAATAAATTCTGCTGAAGCATCAAATGTCTCTCAGAGAATCTTCTTAAGAATTTGGTTTTACCTAAAGCATGGGGGGGCCCCCTTTCCCCCCACCATCACTGTGGCTGGAACCACTGGACATATGAGGCGGAAACACACAGGCTATAAAAGACTCAGAGCACCATGCTAACAAAAAGATGTGTCACTATTTTAAGCGCATGCTTTTTTTTGTTACAAATAGGTGATCAAAAAATCAGACTCTAGATTCCTGTGATCTACCAAAACAAGAGGAAACCGAGACAAGGAAAAAATGATAATATATTGGAAATTTCAAATAACTTTTACTAAAATTTCCTATGATCAGGCTCGGAATCATAAATCCTTCTGCTCTCTGAGCACCTTTGCTTTGGCTCTGTATTGATTTCTTACAGGGCCCTTTTGTGCATGTCGTTTGGGGAGGCGGGCAGGAGCTCTCGCGCTATTTCACAAAGCGATCCCTCTGTATCTGACCAATCAGGTCTCAGCCTTAAAGGAAACTTACTTGGCACCTTCCAAAGAGGAGCTGGGGGGTGTCGGTTTGTTATTCTGCTAGACCAAGGGTTCCCAACCTGTGGGTCAGGACCCAAATATGGGCCATTACATTTCAAAAGGATCGCCAGGTGGCTCTTAAGGAGCCATTCACACATTTTTTTGAATTGCCTTGGGTTGCCAAGTCTTCCTGAATTGTCAAAATGGGTCCCCATTGGAAAAGGTTGGGAACTGCTGTACTGGACACTAAAAACCATGGTCTGAATAAAGACACTGGATTTAGGACTTATTGCAACAATCTATAACCCACTAACTTGCCTTTTAGTCCTAGTGGCCCTGGTCTACATTGGGGAGTTATTTCATTATTACGCCACTGATTTTGGAACAACAAGAGGAGCGTCCGCACTATCAAGCCCGTTATTTCGAAATAATAACTCCTGCTTTCCATGAGGAATAAGGCTAAATAGCTATTTCGGAATAGCAGTAGCATGGATGCGCCGGTGCAGCTATTTCGGAATAACGACTCAGAGTCCTTCCAACTTCCTGGGGCTCTAAGTCGAGGTAATGCGCCCACATTAAGGGAGCCTGGCTCGGACTCATTTCAAGGCTTCCCCGTAGCATGCGCACGCTATTTCAAAATTATTGTTTCAGGAGTTATGATGCCTGGCTCGGACTCATTTCAAGGCTTCCCCGTAGCATGCGCACGCTATTTCAAAATTATTGTTTCAGGAGTTATGATGTCAAAATAAGTTACTTCAAAATAATTTCCTCACATGGACATGCCTCTGGTGTGTTCACAGACCCCTCTACCTTGAAGGGTCCCTTTGAAAGATGTGCTACTTATGCTAGGACAAGTTCAATCTTGTACTTAGCTGGGACACTCCAAGGACCTTTCCCAGACCTGAGGAATTCTCAAAAGTGGGTCTCGCTCACCAACAAAGGCTGGTCCAATATCACCTCACCCACCTTGTCTCGCTAATCCCAGCAGAACCTTCCGATGCCCACCACTGCGAACCTGTTTTCTGAGATTCCTCTCTAGCTCATCATCTGAGGAAGTGGGTTGTGCCCACGCAAGCTCACGCTACTATAAATATTTTGGTTAGTCTCTAAGGCTGCTGGCTTCTTTCGGAAGAAGCTTTTTTCGGAAGAGATCTTCTGGAAAAACGTCTTCCGAAAGAGAGCGACCCCACTGCAAAAGTGCATTGAAAAAGTGATCTGCTTTTTCAAAAGAAAGCGTCCACACTGAATGGACGCTCTCTTGTGTGTCAGCTGTGATTGCTATGGATGGAATGACCAAAGGGCACCTGTGCTTTTCCTCTTTCCTCTTCTTCCGAAAGAACTCCCTCTTCCCCATTCACACGCACTTTTTTGAGAAAGAGTTTTCGGAAAAAGGCTTCCTCCTCATAGAAAGAGCATTACCAATCCTGGAAGAAAGAGCATTACCAATCCTGGAATAACACAATCTCAGTGTGGACGTTCCTCAAGTTTTGTTGAAAAAAGAGCCAGAGAAGTGGGTCATTTAGATGCCTCAGTGAACACAAAATCCAAGACATCGATTAAAGGGAACCACTTACACTCAAAATTTAGGTTCTTAAAGGAGAGCCCAGTTTATAATCACTGCAAACCAGAAAGCGGAAGTTTAGGCATTCCCCTGAAAGGGAAGAGCTGAGAGCATAACACTGCTCCAGAGGGCAGGTAGGCCAAAACATCAAAGTGAAAACATTCCACCCACCTGAGAAATGCCGTGGGCCGGCAAGCTAGACAAGCGGATCAGGACAGGACAGTCTGGTATGTGCAGGGAGATCAATTGATGACCAGTGCCTGAGGGAAGAGAATGTTTCCTGAACACACAGATGGTAACGAAAGGAGATTGATGTTCCAATGGTGGGCAGGCCTAATGGTTATGGAAGCAGCAGGGCATGAATGAACTGATGGTATGAAGTACATGCAAGTGAGATTGATGTGCCAGTGGTGGGCAGGCCTAATGGTTATGGAAGCAGCAGGGTATGAATGAACTGATGGCATGAAGTACACGCAAGTGCACAGATGGTAACGAAAGGAGATTGATGTTCCAATGGTGGGCAGGCCTAATGGTTATGGAAGCAGCAGGGCATGAATGAACTGATGGTATGAAGTACATGCAAGTGGAGAGGACGTACAGCTCCCCTGCTTACTTAGGTGGGGTGGGGGAGTGTCGGGTTTTGGTGATATGATGGGAATTGGCAGCGGAATAGAAGGTTGAGCAATGATTAATAAAAGGGACAGTGGCTTTGTTACAGTCTAAATCTAAATCCCAGACCCAAACCCAGAAGGTGCAGGTGGAGATGGGTCAGAAACAAAGGGCAGGATGTAAAATTCACAGCTAGTTCATCGCAAGGAGTCCTCAAACTCCACACCCCCTTGACACACTGGGAGATTCCAGATTTTAATGGGAACTTGGCAATGGTGATCCATCTCTGCTCTTGTTCCAGGTTTGGGAGCAAACATAGAACCATACAATCCCAGAACTGGAAGGGACCTTGACAGGTCATCAAGTCCCGTCCACTGCCCTCCCGGCAGGACCAAGCACGATCTAAATCATCCCTGACAGGCATCTGTCTAAACTTCTTAAATATCTCCAGAGATGGAGATTCCACAACTTCCCTAGTCAATTTATTCCAGTGTTTCACCACCCTGACAGGTAGGAAGTTTTTCCTAATGTCCAACCTAAAGCTCCCTTGCTGCAGTTTAAGCCCATTGCTTCTTGTCCTATCATCTGAGGCCAAGGAGAACAATTTTCCTATGTCCTCCTTGTAACACCCATTTATGTATTTGAAAGACATTTAATTGAACATTGTATTATACCATGAAACTGCCAGCTCTGATTTTTTTTTGGGGGGGGGCCAGGATTCTGACTTTTGGCTGCTATTGTTGGAGGTGAGTGGGGAAGAAATAAGGAGTGGTATTGGTGTAAAGGTTTTCTCCTCACCCCTCTGAAATTGTGCCTGAATCTTGGAGCAAAATGGTATCCCGAGGAACCAGTCGCTCCACCTCTTTGTGCAAAGAGAAGCAATTTTATCTAAGCCTGGGTTAATATTCAGATGTCTGATAACCGCTGAGGGTGGAAAGACAAGTCCTTGAAGTAGACCCTGCGGACACATCTCTGTGCTCTTTGCAGGAGAAACGCTTTAGAGGGAAGTCAAAGCTTGCACTCCAAATCTTAAAGGTATGACGGGAAACATAGCCTGCAATTTATTTTAATGGTGCAATATAGGTTTAGTGGAACCGAGGCATTTTAGATCTTACCAATGAGTTTAAAAAGTGTTTGGTGCAGTCATTGTAGTGGTTGTGTGCAACTTGATGAGGCTTAGGAGAAATCTGAATGCTAAAAGTAGCTCTGAATCTTCAACAATTGATTTAGAAGGCCTTACGGAGCTAATTACATGGCTGGTTATGCAAAGAAGAGGCTATATTTATCTCTAGGGCATATTTACTCCCAGTCAATGAAGCGGGGTCAGTTGGAAAACAAGGGGTCAAAGTCTGCCTTTGATTATACGTCTAGAATGCCCACAGTCTTCAGTGGAAATTGTACACGTAGAAGAGACGGGAGAATTTGGCCTTGAATATGAATGTAAAAGTTAATAGTACGAACACCCTGCAAAAGCTCACATCCTGGTGTGCATGTAACAAATATGCTTTCGGTCTCCGGGTCACGGTTGGAACGCAATCTGAGGGAGATCCACCTACTGAGGTAAGATCTGACCAGGGGGAGAGGGGAGAAGAGAGAGTTTCTCCCTGGGGGAGAGGGGGGGAGGAATTGAACCTGGATCTCTCACATCTGAGATGTGTGCTGGAACCACTGGGCTAAACATCCTAAGGCAACAGTGCTGTGGCTGCTGGCGCCCCCTGCTGTTTTGTGTGGCGCACAGCAGGCTCCTAGTATTCCCACAGACCAGGCCTCAGTCTGATCTTGCAGGGAGGCATTTATCTCCAGGCGAGGGGTAGTGCTTCGGCCATACCGCCCAGGGCCCAGCTAGGGCAGCCCACGCCGCACCTCACACTCTGGCCTCTGCGGCTCACAACATCAGGCTTCTCCCTCCCATCGCCGGATGGGAGCCAAGGGGCCCAGGATTTTCTCCATCCCGAAAGAAGACTCTTAGCACCTTGGCCCCGTCGAGGATCGGAGCCTTTGCCTGGCCTCATGAGAGCGGCAGGAGAGATCAGGGTGCTCAGATCGCATCCTGGGGGGTAGGGACCCTGGTTAAAATGTTATTTAACATTCCTGGCGTAAACCTCGCAAGTCAGAAGCCAGTCTTATGTGGCAGGAGTTGGTCTTTGTTATAGCCCTTCCCTAGCAGGGGTCCCGGGTCTACACAACCAGCCGCATCACTAGTTTTGGCAGGGGCTGACCTACCCGGGATGGAGACGTTAGCCAAAGGAATCGCTGCTTACCCAGAGGCTCGCTGTCAAAGCGGCGCTCACTAAGCCTTTTATACGCCCCCAGTGACATTGGCACACTGCTGTGCGGTAAGGCAGGGGCCAGCCTGGGTGTGTGTGGCTGACAGCAAAGGGGGTTCAGAGCACTCTGTGGTCTCCACCTGCCTCTTTCAGCACCTAAGGAATCAGGTCCCTTTCACGCAGGTCCATGGGCCCCACCCCATGCAGGCCGGGGGTCACGTTCAACAGGGCTGCAGGTGTGAGCAGGTTGCAAGAACAAGCAGCAAAGATTGTTCCCCCAGCGTGGGGCTTTACAAGGAGCTCAGCTGGGAACACCCCCAAGTCTCACCCCAGGGCAGAGGTCCCTCTGGCAGGGTGCAGAGCTGCTACCTCCCCACATGCTCCAGGATTAAAAAGCCTCCTTATAGAGGAACCTGCATTAGCCCCCAAGCTAGGCCTAGAAAAGCATCACTCACCAGCAGGCCCCCAACACAGCTCTGTCCTCTGCTCTGCTCCAGCTCCACCAGCAGCTCCCACAGCCAGCTTTTATCCACAGCTGTACCCGTACCCCCGCCCTGGGCAGGTTGGTCTAATCCCTCGTCAGTCACAGGGGCGCTAATGAGCTCAGGTGTGTCAATCAGGGAGCCCAGGCAGACTGGGCAGTGCAGGCTGGGCGAGCGAGCCCCAAGGATCATGTGTGGCCCCAAAGCCAGCTGACAGCCCTCCTCCCCCCCCCCCCCCCCCCCTCGTCCCGGCCCTCCCCCCGCCCCG